TAAATAAATAAATAAATAAATAAATAAATAAATAAATAAATAATATAAGTTGATGTCTTACTCCATTAACTTTTTAAAGTTAATACTCTTTTACGCACTTTGTTAAAAACCAGTTCTTTCCATGTTTTCCTCCTAAATATTTATGTAAAGTTGGAGTTTTCCCTCTACTCGTATTATTTAATTTATTACTATCCTGATCTTCAATGTTAATTTTCTATTTAGGAATACTTGAGGAAAGAGTTCAGCGAAGAGAACATCTTGTTTTGGAAGGCATGTGAGCAGTACCGTCAACTGACAGGTGACTCTGAGGTGAGTTTTTAATATTTTGATAGACGAATTGTGTTCTTTAACTAAAGGTTTTTAAGACGTACCGTATTGCTACCTAGATGTTGGCTCTTGAAAGTACAAGTAGACAGAGTGGTATCAGTGTTAGTTGATAGAATCATCTTGTCTTTAACTTGTAACATTTATCTTCAGATAGATGCACTGAAATAGTAACTAAGTTTTTTTTTTAGTAATTGTTTGAATATAGATCTACTGACACTTTTCGCATTTGTTGTTGTTGTCTGTTTTTAATCAAAGAAGTGACTGAAAATGAAAAAAACAAAACAAAACAACAACCCTAAAACAAACTGAACTTAGCAACAATAGTTGATAATGTAATGGTTTTTGTTGACGTTTCATATGTCCTGAGACAAAATAGGAGTTTGAAGAAGATGGAACATTTTTTATGCATCCACGGGAAATAACTATCAGAGGAAATGTTCAAATAAGATTAAATAAATACCTTGGTCTCTTTTCAAATCTGAATTTGGAAGGTCCTTGAGGCAGATCAATTTTTTAAAAACCCATTGGATCAGTTATTTTACGCCCCCATCGACATATTTAGGATGTAGACTTTGACCTTGCCTGTCAGGGACAACCAGGACTGAGAGAGATACAATGCCCCAGAAGAAAGACAGAAATATTTTTTTTAAATTCTACCAACTTGAGAATCGATTTCAAGTCCATAGCGAGCATCGGCGTGGTGCTTAACCGCTGTACTACAGACATCGCTATCAAAGTCGCAATGTTTTGCACCAAGTAATGGTAATAATGTCACCATGAACCTAATATTATTGTCTCATATATATGAGTATTTTTGTTTCTCATTATAGCGCAACTCTCAGGCCGGAGTCATCTATGGCCGCTTTTTGTCCCCCACGGCAGATGATCCCGTGAATGTGGATGATGTAGCCCGCTCTCACACGCGGACGTTTCTGGACAATCCCACAGTCGACATGTTTGATGTGGCTCAGAAGCAGGTACGTATCTTGACACTTAGTGTGGATGTCCGCGAGAGTTGATTTTGTGACATAAGTCGAAATATTTATACTTATTGCAAGTATGACTATTTTCAAAATATGCAAAATAGTCAAATTATGTTAGCGGAACTGAAATTTTCAAAAGGGAGATGATTTGAAGTTGTTTTTTTAAACTTGGAAGTGCTTTTTAAAAGTAAGATTTTACAGTTTTTTGTAGGGTGGGGGATGGGGGTGCAACACATTTTAAATCAGTATTGGTGTAGCATCTCTAACTTTCTTTTTATATGGTTGGTAGATGCTTTGATGAGGTCTGCTTTTTCTTTGTATTATTGTTCTCAAATTTCCAAACACAAAATAACAGTTGTTGTGCCGACTAACCGTTTACTGTGACTCATCAAATGCAAATTTTTGGTACATGCACAAGTAAAGGACTTGTCTTCTGTTCCTATGTGCTTTTATATCATGACAAATGTATGTGCTATTTTACAGATATATCAACTGATACGTCGTGACAGTTATGTGAGATTCGTCAAGTCTGATTTGTACAAGAACAAGTTAATGGAGGAAATGGAGGGCAAACCTCTGCAGGGACAGATGCAAGACAAACTACCAGAAGAAAAAAGAGAAGAGAAAAGAGTGAGTATATATTTGAAGTTACTAATCATGGATGTATTTTTTTTACCAGCATTATTTGTTATTTGATTTTGGTGATGGTATTTTCTTCTTAGTGGTATGTAAAAACTATGTTGGTCTTTGGTTTAGCAGAAAGTGATTGCAGTTTTGAAGGGATAATCGTAATACTGCGTCATATTTCTTTTGTTTGTTTTTTGTCCTTGTCCTGCTGAATTAATCTCCATTTTATGAAGTGCATAGCCCAGACTTGTCTGAAGACAGAGAACGCATCATATACAGCAGGTCTTGCTCTTTGCTTGTGTAATTGTCAGCTGGGCTCACAAAATCTTTTGTTAAATCTGAAAGTATAATCAGCTGGTCTCTACTATGAGCTACTTTTTCTCTCTGTCTGAATCCTCATATTTTACGGGATATCAAATGATTTTTTTTATATGGGGGGAAGGGGAGGGGGGGGGGGCAAGATTGCGTGTTTGAGTCCAACTGTTTGCTCGGATACCTGTTATAAGCGAAGTTCACAAACTATATAATTTGCTTTTGTCTAATTCAGAAACGCCAAGCAATTCTGTACTATGAACTATTTTTTAAATAAAATCTCTCCATAAAAACTCACGAATTTCATAGTTTATTAAATGAGTCTTTCTCTGGTGGTTATGTTGTGTATTTAACATCACCATTGTTAATTAATATGACAATTTTATTCTTTCTCAGGGTCGCATATATGGAGCTTCTTCAGGTATATTGACACTTCTGAAAAGATTCAGACTAAAGGATGCACGGAAGAGAAGCAAGAGGAAGGGTGGCGTTCAGCCGTGATGGGTGTCTGACTAATTCGGTGTCAACTCAGCAGACCACAAATGTCGGTTAGCGCTTGACCGCACCCAGTTGACAACAAGGAGACACCCCC